GTATCAGTTATCTAGTACACATAACACAAGCTTTAGCTAGCTTAACTCGGGTCTAGATGGCGCTGTGTGAATTGTCCTGAGATTAATAATTATTATTATTATTACGAATAGTTTAAAAAGCAATAAATTAAACCCAAACTTAAAAACCCCTTGTTTTTTATTTACTGTCCCGATCTGCAACCTTAAATCCCTTTTTGGTCTTAGGTACCAATTTAAAACAAATCGGAGCTGGCAACACTAATTGTGAGGGATGCTGCAGCGGCTCTTTGTAGAGACACGCGTAGGGTACGTCCGACTGGGGAAGGGTGCTCTGAATTCGTATTATCCTAATGAAGTGTAGCATTTAAACTTAGATGATTCATTTCTATGCAGCTCGTGTACACTCGTAGTAAGGTCTCGTTAGTTGGGTGCAGTGCACCAGACATTTGTTATGTTAGACATTACTATATTAGTATAGTATGGTAGACACTATTAGTTTTTTTTTATGGATGATAATGGAATGGTGCACCCGCCTGCGCTAACGGTTTACGCTGGCGGGGCACCAGTGGAGGATGATAAGATGAGCATGAGGTCAGGTCAGTTAGTCCATCGTGACAAATTCACCGGAATGTATCACGATGGTTTCCAGGGGGAACCGCGTGGATTACAATCCAGTTTTGTACCGATCTACACTCTCCTAATTATATTATTGTATTGATTGTAATTTGTTTTGTATGCTAATGAATGAATAAATAAATAAATAAATAAGTCTTTTAGTTTGTAATTTTATCTTTTTTTTTATAACACAGGGGACAAACGAGCATGCGGCTCACCTGATGGTAAGTTATTACCGCGGCCCATGAGCACCCGCAACACCAGGGGAATTGCAAGTACGTTGTCGGCCTTTTAAAAAGGAATAAGCTCTTTTCTTGAAGGTTTCATTATCGTATCGGTTCGGAAATACCATTGCTGGAAGGTGATTCCACAATGTGGTTGTGCATGGCAAAAAGTTTCTAGAAAACCGTACTGTGGAGGACCGCCATTCATCCAGATGATCAGGATGGTATTTTAGTTTAGTTTCAGCTGGTATTAATCCGAACAATTCCTCAGAACACTCCCCGTGATCTATGCGGTAGAAAATGCACAGAGATGCGATATCTCGCCGCTAAGCCAATGGGTCGAGGAATCGAACCCGCGACTGGAAGTATGGCGGTGTGCTAAACCACTAAACCATCAAGGTCTTATTAGTTATGTTGTTCAGAATTACATATTTACGATTATGACTGTGTAGTTATTGAGTCATAGTTATATACCTATATGTGTACATTGACATCCGACTCTGCTTATCAATTTGTGTGACATCTGCATATAATAGTGTAATTTGTGGAAACAGGCTATCAATCAGCTTAAATGCAATACGTATGATAACAATATGCATTGATTACACACCTGTCTGATTACTTGATAACAGATTGTGCGTCGTGAGGGGTCTATGACCATCAGTGGTGTAGTTAGGTAACCAAGGGCCCTGGGGCAAATCAAAAATGCAGTGGGGCAAAAGCAAAAGCACAGCAGTGGGGCCCTACATTACAGTTTTATTAAAATTGTATTGAAAACAAATATCTAATTAATTTATGAAAAAAAATATTTATATACTAGCTGTTCCCGCGACTTCATCCGCGTGGAATTTAACTTTATTTTTCTAAAATAAAAGTAGCCTAAAGAACTAAAAATTATATTTATAAGGTTCAAACTAATACATTTACATCCTGCATCATCCCTAATTTTATCCCCATGGGGGTTGAATTTATCAAAATTCTATTTAAGCGAACGTCTTCATCATAGTAGCTCCAATCTTTAATTTCAGTTCAATCAGTCAAAAATCTAAGAAGATTTATACAAACTTGCATCCCCTATTTTATCCCCTTAGGGGTGGAGTTTATCAAAATCCTTTCTTAGGGGATACCAACGTCATAGCTTTATGCATGCAAAGTCTCAGCGCGATCGGTTTAAAAGTGACAAAGTTTCATACAAACTTTCATCCCGTTTTTTTTCCCCTTGGGGTAGAATTAATCAAAATCCTTTCTTAGCGGATGCCTATGTCATAACATCTACCTGCATGTCAAATTTCAGCCCGATCCGTCCAGTGGTTTGGGCTGTGCGATAGATCACTACGTCAGTCACCTTTGAGTTATATATATTTAGATTTATACAATTACAGTGATGGACCTTTATGAAAATCAATTTGATTAAGAAAACCTTTTAGTGCAATTAAATAATAGCTCAGACTTACTATTAGTGATTTGAACTATAATATTTTAGAGTCTGTAACAAAGTAAATATTTTAATTTAATTGAAAATAGGACAACTATTGTAGACAAGTGGGTGGTAGTTTTGAAATTAATAAAACAGTCGCTGTAGATGTTTGTCCGTCACCATGTATGCTTAAATCTTTAAAACTACGCAACGGATTTTGAAGCCGTTTTTTTTATAGATAAAGTGATTCAAGAGGAAGGTATATGGTATATATATATAAATACATGTACACCCGTGCATGTGCACCCGTGTAAATAAATAACCCTGGACAATTAATACAGGGCCATCTAGTCCCACGGTAAACAGAGCTTGTGTTATGGGTACTAGACAACTGATATGAATACTTGTATATATATTTTTTATAAATACATAGAAAACACCCAGACCGATACAAACAATCATACTCCTGAATACAAATGTTTGTGCCGTGCGAGGAATCGAACCCGCGACCATCGGAAGTAAGGCTGTGTGCTAAACCGCTAGACCACCGAGACCGTCAACTGAGGCTGGATAAAATAACTTGAGATGTATTTTAATTTTAATGTAGAGATCCCATATGATAGGTGCACACGTGCTTCAGATGACGTTCTTCTTTTATTCTCCATTATTCTATAATAAACTGCCAGAATCTACGCTAAATCTGACAGAGAGAAAATTCAAATTTTATATTATACAAATGTTATGTAAAAAAGCCTATTATAGGATAGATGAATTTATAGATGATAGCAATATATAGCAAGTATAAGTTTATTTGCGGACAACGTTATAATTTATTTTTCATACTGCTTTCTTGGTATATGATAGCGTAGCGGCTTTTGTATTGATTGCTGCATGCATCCTCATGTAAAGTGCGAATACTGTACATAACTACCATATAGTAATTTTTGTAGCTGTGACGTGGTCGAGTGGAATGAGTCATGCTCACTAAAATGTCAAGACATGTGGCGGCGTGGTGGGCCGGGTCATTGGGCTCCCTAATATATGGTCGCGCGTAGTGATGGCTGGCTCATCCGTCATACTCGTGAACGAGTGCTGCTTGTAGAAATTGGTCTGCTCTTATCACTACGACTGATTTAATCTTATTGTATATTTATATTTGACCCAAATAAATTAGTGCTGCTTGGTAGTTTGTATTCACACGTTTCTACTTGTAAAATGTGAACTTACATGGATTGTTTAAAAGAACAACACACAAGTTTCTTGCTCGTTCTTCTTGTGATGAGACAGCTTTCCGAACGAGTGGTAGATAAAAAACAAATTCTTATTATTATTTAAAAGTGCTTAAATTAAGTTTATTTGAATAAATGATTTTCTATTCTATTCTACAATACCAAGGTTAAGTACATGTAGTGGATATTAAGCGGGTGTTACATATGAATGTGGATGGTTAAGGGTAGAGGAAGACCGAAAAAGAGGTGGATGGAGAGACCTACAACAACTCCTAGTTACGATAGAACAGGAAAAATAACGAGCCTGATTCGAGACCGAATCGCCTCCTTGTATATAAATATATAACTCAAAGGTGACTGACTGACATAGTGATCTAGCAACTTCGACTTGTAAATGTAAACTTACAAGGATTATTTAAGAGAGCAACACACAAGTTTCTTGTTCGTTCTTCTTGTGATGAGACAGCTTTCCGAATGAGCGTTAGTATCCAAAAATTTGTCTATTCAAAAGTGCTTAAATTAAGTTTATTTGAATAAATGATTTTCTATTCTATTCTCAGTAGCCTATCTGGCCGGACTACCGGTATTTTGTATTAAAAATAATATTACTCATTTAAAGTCGGTCTTTTTTATTATAACTATATCACTAATGTATACAAGGTTATTCGTATAGGGTACGTACACCAAACAGAAACCGGTGAAATATACATGAGACAGAAACAAATTCTCAAAAAAAAAAAACAAGTGAAAATCTTATATATGTATATAGTAAGTGAAGTATTATATATATAGTATATGTAGAGAACGAACAGTGCTAATATTTTCTTTGTATGTACATATATTTGACAAACATACGCATATATACTCTTTTGTTTATTGTTAAATTTTGTGGTCAAAAAGAGAATAGATTATGTATGTTTAATATTATTTGTGTATAGATTTATTGAAATTTTGATCAGTAATTATTTAAAATTTTCAGCTTTGCAACTGTAGGAAAGTGAAGTTTCCTGAACACTATGGCTTGCTCTATTGTTTGTCTTTAGTCTTAATTTTTTTTATTTCTTTTTAAATTTAGGAACATTGTACCATCTAAGTACATGCCAGTCCCATTGTACTCTAAAACTAATCACTCCATTACCTCACCAGTGAAGAAATTGCTTTAGCCGCACCGTCTGAAGGATCCGCTAAAACAGTTTGTATGGCACCAACATCTAATATATTTATTTCATGGTCTGACGTTATTCCATGTCGTAGACTCTCGTTCCTGTCACACTCCATCAGCAAATGATATACATACTCTATTGTACCACATACTTCACAATTTTGTGAATTGCTTTTTTTCATCCAGTATGCAAGCCTATAGTTTTAATGAATGTTAAATTTATTATCTTAAATTACGATCACAAGTTATTTAAAACTTTCAAGTTTGTATCTGTAGGAAAGTTACGTTTCCTGAACATTGAACCCTGTACCAATAACCTTGTATACTAATTAAATTACTTATACAATATTATAAGAGATATTGTGAATAATTACTTTGCGTCCGCTCACCTCGTCTTCATGGTACCAGAATATGTAGGCGGGGGGCTCCGGACTGAACTGGATGAGGCAGGTCAGGTTGATGGTGGACCCGATGTCCACGTGCAGGTCCGGACCGCCCAGGATACGAGCCGAGGGCACTGCAAACAACACTTTACATGTCCTCAATACGGTACACATTCAAATAGCAATCAGTTATTTTATTACTAGCTGTTCCCGCGACTTCGTCCGCGTGGAATTTAACATTAGTTTTCTGAAATAAAATAATTTTTCTAAAATAAAAGTAGCCTAAGTTTCTCCTTATTACATTAGATACCTACCAAAAAAAGTCCCGTCAAAATAGGTCCAGCCATTTCAAAGATTAGCCGGAACAAATAGGCAGACAGACAAAAATTGTAAAAAATGTCATTTTGGTGTATGTACCGTTTTTATATTCATATGCATGTAGTAAAAGACGATTATTTCAATATTACAAACAGACACTCCAATTTTATTTATATGTATAGATTATTATATATGTGAAGCAAAAACATTTTTGATAAAATTGTGCAGACAAAGGAGTATGAAAATGACTAATATTTATAAACGGATTTTGTTAATTTTTTTTTTATATAATTAATTAAAAATATTTTTTATAATTAATAATATCTTACTAATATTATAAACGCGAAATTTTGTGACTATGGATGGATGTTTGTTACTCTTTCACACAATAACTACTGAACGGATTTTGATGAAACCTTACAGTAATATAGCTTATACATCAGAATAACATAGGCTATAATTTAAAAGGACAATAATAATGATAAATATCAAGGAAGTGTTATGCAGACGAAGTTGTGTGGGTCAGCTAGTAGTTATACATATATACAGAAGGAATGCAGAAAGATTTTTTTTAATTATACATAAAAACAACATTAAATCAATAAAAAAACATTACACACATTACAATGTATTTGACACACACTCATAGAAGTAGAGTCTTTGACAATAGAAACTTAATAATTGTTCAAACTTATATTATAAACTATCTGACACGGCAAACTCCGTTTCGCCTCATAATTAAATATGTCAAAGATTTTTTGAAGTTTAGTTACGCAATAAATTTCTGAACGCACCCTGTTTGACAGGTATCAGCCGTTTGTATGGGAAAATATAATTGTTGTTTTTACTATTATACATGCAATTTCTTTATATTTTATCACCGTTTAAACCCTGGACTTCCACGAATATTTCAAGGCTAAAATTAGCCAAATCGGTTCAGCCGTTCTCGAGTTTTAGCGAGACTAATGAACAGCAATTCATTTATATATATATATATAGATTGCGCGGACGGACGAGTATTAAAATTAGCTTACTAATCTTATCTTACTATCCCTCGAGGGGGTCACGACCCACAGATTGAAAAACACTGCGCTAGACCGTCATCATCATCATCATCTCAGCCCGGAAGACGTCCACTACTGAACAAAGGCCTCCCCAAAGATCTCCACGACGCTGCGCTGCTCTCATCCAATGCCTTCCAGTAATCTTGACCAGATCGTCGGTATAGCCTGGTCTTACCCGGGGATTCTTCGCACCCCCTGCCCCGCCGTTTCCATGACCGCTACCATTGTTAAGACTAGTGGGGCTGGTGGGGGCTGGGGGGCGGGGATTTTGGGTGTATATCCAATTGGGGGGATATTGCCATAATCACCACGCTTGGCATTCGGGTTGGAGATCGCAGTGTGTAGTTACTCAGTAGAACGCTGCCCGTCCACTGGTCGATGAATCTCTTACTCGCCTATTACGACATCCACGGGAAGAGAGGGGGCGGTGCGATTCTTACGGCGACACCACACGCTCTTCCACGAGGCCTCAATTAGAAAGGTTACAACGAGTGGTAATAGAAATAAATTATAAAAGGTAAATAATAGACCGTCTGGTGTAATTTGGCTGGGTAATCCGGTGGTGCGGGGCTCGTGTAGAGACGGCTTACATAATTAGTTATCTGTGCAATTCAATTATCGGAAAACCGCTCAACTTCCACCCCAACTGTTGATTAATGTCTCCAATTTGACAGTGTCGCCCGCCCCCCGCACGCCGCACCCCGCCCATCAAGAAGCTTTTACAAAAGTTTTCTAATTCAATACGAGTATTATGACGAATGTTCCAGCAACAAACACCTCAATAGGTAACACATCACTGCTACACAAATTGTTACCATGTTTTCGATTTCTTAAATATATCATATACTTTCAAATGGCACAGGAAAGTATTAAAAAAACATTGCAATTAAAATTCAAAAATCATTTATATATCATATAGGACATTTTACCCGCTTATGAACGTCAAATTTTTTACATTATGTTTTAATTTTTGATGAAGAACTGACAAGAAACTCAATTGAATTACTTTTTTTTCAAAAACCAGTTTATTTACATTGTATATTTATATAGGTGTCTATGTCTAACATTAAATGAAAATCCCGTGCATGAACATCTATTGCCATGCACGCTCGTCATTCAAGTAATCGTTTAGTGAGTAATAGGCTTTGCTCAGTAAATATGATTTAACAGATGTTTTGAATTTATTTAAGGGTAATTCCAGTATATCCTTTGGTATCTTATTGTTCATTTTTATACCTATTCCCATAAAAGAACGATACTTGAGGACAGCAAGTTTGTCTTTAAATCTAGTATTAATATTATGAATATTGGTGTTTTTTGGAAATAAGGCAAGATTTTTGTGAAAATATAGGATATTTGAATATGTAAATTGAGAAGCAACGGTGAGAATATTTGCCTCTTTGAATTTCTCTCTTAATGAGTCTCTGTGAAAGCAATATTACCGTAGGCCCTAAAAATAAATGTTACAGGTAAATGTAGTCTAGTGAAGGGCATATTGTATTTGTTTACTATAGGTGTTCAGATTTTAGTTGAGTAATTGTTGGAAAATTGTCCTCTACGAGTTTATGTATGTTCTTGTTTTAAATATGGATTCAATGTATTTATGTATGTTCTTTTTTTAAATTTAATATTCGATTTTCTGTATGTTCTTTTTTTAAATTTAGATTCATCGAATTTTTGTATGTTCTTTTTATAAATTGTGATTATTCGAAATTAAGTATGTTCTTTTTATAAATTTAGATCCTTCTAATTAATATATGTTCTTTTTTTAAATTTGGATTCTGCGAATTTATGCATAATCTGTTTTCATATTTAGAATTGCTTATGTAACTGGAATGGTAAATGGTTTTCGATGTGCCAGTATTCAATGCGTGCTATGTATATGAATCAGTAGGGGGCGACGCAACTGCTCTGGTTTAATTCACAAGAGCTATACATTATGTGCCGGCGCGGGGGTGACCGCGGGTGGGTGTGGGGTCAGAGCGACACATTTGCAGTTCACCGTCCTCATTACGGCCGCCTGAATGCACTTAGTTTCAAGTGCACGCTCCACCCGACGCTTAACCTTTAATAAATGTGGTTGAATCTTCTTAATTACACCGCTGAATACAAATGAATAGCAGTTAATATGCTTACCATGCGCTGAATTTAGATGAATCCAATATACAGGGTGTCCGTACGTAGTGGAGCAACGGTAAGTAGTGGTCCACTACTTACGGGACACCCTGTATAACCGTCTAACCTAAACAGTAAGGGGGGAAGGGAATGCTAGTAATGTGGACTAATAACCATATTAGCAATGAACATTGTCAGGTTAACCTCCACGCGGGTCCCCCTGGAAACCATCGTGATAAATTCCTGGTAAATTTATCGCGTTGGGCTAACCTGACCTCATGCTCATCTTATCATCCTCCACTGGTACCCCGCCAGCGTAAACCGTTAGCGCAGGCGGGTGCACCACTCCATGGAAACAAAATTAAACAGTAATAAATATGTGTTATGATTAATAATAATAATAATGGGCCTCTCCCTGGGGCCCTGAACCCCGGCCGACTGTGCTTCTGCCGGGGATAAGTTGCCATCTCCTCTCCTTAAGAGGGGAGATGAGATTTTTAAGTTTAAAAAATAATAATAATAATAAATTTAAATATTGTTTTATTAACGGAATAAAATATCAGTTGTCACTACTATCGTAAGGTTCTGGACGCCATTGTATAACGCTTATATACCGTATAACACGCATGTATTATACATATAAACCTTCCTCTTGGATCACTCTATCTATTGCTAAAAACTGCATTAAAATTCGTTGCGTAATTTAAAAGATATAAGCGAACAGACAACTGAGTCGACTTTGATTTATACTATGTAAATATATAAATGACTGATCGTGTGTTTGTGTGTTTTAAGTCCGCTACCTGTACTTTTACACTGAAGTTATATATATATATAACAATAAAAAAGAACAATTATAGGGTTCTTCGGGCCGAGTGAAAAAAAAACGCGAAATACGTTCGCTTTAATATATTTCAACAAAGTGACAAATTTTTATATGATATTACCACAAAAGATGCCGGCTACTATATACAAAACTTCGGCATAGACTAATTAACTAAACAGAACAATCACTCATTGCACAGAGTACAGATGACAAAAGTAATTACAGATTATCGCGCATCCTGCGCGTACGTGGAAAATGGTGGTGGTACCAGGTACTATAGAATGTAATTTTTCCATCGAATAACAAACTATTATAGACAAGTGTAGTAACTAGAAATTAATTGTTCTAACCAAGGACCTCTGTCTCATCGTTGCGTAGTATTTACATTGCACAACTTGCAATAAACAATTTCATACAAATTGGTTTTGTAGTTCGACCGGCACCGTTACAGACAGACTTATTTCCTAAACGTTTTAATTAATATTTTAACTACCAGTTGCATCGGAATTAACTAGTATATATCGAAATCGAACAGGTCAATACCAATATAGTTTAGCGGTTCAGCACACCACTTTACTTCGGATAGTCGCGAGATCAATTTCTCGCGCCGACAAAACATAGTATTCATGAGTATGATTACTTTGGTGTTGGTTACAGTATACCACCGGTATATTATGCATGCATTAAAAAAAATGTGCTCTCACATAGACTAATAGTATCAGAATTAAACAAAATGCAGTGGTTTTGCAAGGCAGTGTCGGAGCATCGAATTTGTCGGATTATAGAGTGCTGCCTAAGGGTCCGGAATTTT